AAAGGCAGCACATACTCAACAAGCTTGTGTCACTTTCTGACACATAACATAACTTTTTACCTTGATCTATACAGCTACATATTTGGAGTTGATGCTTTCAATCCTCTAGGGGTAAAGCACAAGAAATTGCATCATGTCTCATTCAGAAGCAATACACCAGAGCTCTGAGCACATACAACCTGTAGAATCTACACCATTTTTCTTGTAAAAGACTTTAGAAAGATTACAGATCAGCGTGTGTTTTAATGTACAAAAATATACATAAAACACACAAAACACACACAGATTCTTTCTTTTTATCCTAGCAAAGAGATTTCAGATATGTTTTTCAAACAGGCCAACCACTCATGTCAGCAGTAGATGTCATCTATGAGCTATACAATGAGGGTACAACTTATCTCATCTAACTTTACATTACATTCAGCCAGGGCTTCCTTTTTTTTTTTTTTTTAAGATCAAACTTTTAAACCATGACATTTCCAGAGGCCAATTTATCTCATCCAAAACCAGACTGCTAGAACAGCTGGGAAGAATGACCCTCAGGAGATATCCATTCTCTAGAACAGCTCTATGAGCTACTGTAACTAGTTCAAACTTCATTACTCTTCCTTAGACATTTGAAGATTGACAAAAGAAAAATCTAGCCCCTCTTTGGACATTCACCAATCTCAGGAATTGTACCAAAAAGAAAGTTACAATTATTGCTGGGATCCATTCAAAGCCACTGGTAGTCTGCTCCAGGCAGCTGCAACCTCATCTCCCTATGCAGAAGACAAATGCTAAGCCATTTCAAAACTGAACATAATCCCGAAATCTTAAAAATGCAAATAAAATATCAGTAAAGTTAAGCAGCAATCTTATCTATGTTCACTATATTTATTCTTTATGTTTATGTTTCACTCAGAGCTATATATTCATAAACATGCTCATAGGAGCAATGCAAAGTCAAAGCAGATGCTTAACTTGATGAGAAGAGGCCTCTGGTGGCAGTTGTGAAGTACAGTTCATAGTTCTAGGAAATATTGATTTTATAGAAAAAGCTACAGAAAGCAGATTAAGCAGTTAGGTTTGCCATGAAAATTCTGACATATGACTGCTCTTCTCCAAAGCACTAACAATTTCAACCCACCCTTCTGCATGTCTACAGCACAGTTGTCATATTAGTCTTAAAGCTGCATATATTTCCAGCTAAGTAAGACTAAAATAACAGCCTTTACTGATCACAAAGGACAACCCCTCCCAGTAGTAAAACAGAGAGGCATGTTTTTATAGCAAAACCCAAAGTCCTGCTCTCCAACACCACACAGACTCCCATCAGCCAAGGACCATGCATCCCAGCACCAGCAGAAGAGCAATAAGGTTGCAGCGTAAGGCATGCACCATCCTTTTCCTCTGCATCCAACACAACAAAGAGACATTGGACGTATTTCAAATACAGATGTACAACAAGGTAAAACAAAAATGTTTATGGAGGCTGACGCAAGTAATAGCCTGAGGCAAAGGGCAGCCTGTAACAGGTTATAATTTGCCTATAGGTTGGACTGGAGTAAAAGCAATTCCATTTTCATTTAAGAGCCCGCAAAGAGAACATAAGCAGACCAATGGACAGCTGAGGACTTCCTCTGGTACAGCCAACTTTTCAACTACTCTCTTGGTCCCTGACACTGGCATCTCAGGAAGAGAAAAACAAGTCCCATCACGCAAACTGACCCTTGTAAGCCACTGTCAACTGCAACAGCTGACAGAAGCAATTCCTCTTGGGATGAGGCAACAACAAGCACCTAGAACTGTAGTTTCCAACCGTCTGTTTACATTGGCAATTACCTTAAAAGCTGTCCAGAATGCAAATTAAGTTAAAAAGTTTTCAGTGTTGCATAATGTAACCAACTAATGCACAAATGCAAACCACTAATTATTTTCAGCTGAGCAAAACAGACAAGATCTACAGAAGAAGAGAATTTAACATTTCTCCCATCAGACTGACCAGTCTGCAGCCAAACTAACATAAGAGCAATGCTAAAAACCTTTACTATTTGGTATTTATTATAATAAACAGCTGAACTGCCTAGCCAACATGCACTGTACTTTTCTTGAAACAACCCTCTTAATCGTAAACAGATTTAAAGCCACAGGTCCATCTGTTCTATCTTTTAAAGGGATAGAGCACCTCTCCCATGAGGATAGACTAAGAGAATTGGGATTGTTCAAGTCTGAGAAAGAGAAGGCTTCGGCATGACCAGATTGTGGCTTTCCAGGACCTAGAGAGTGTGTACAAGAAAGATGGAGAGAGACTTTTTACAAGGGCATGTAGTGATAGGACAAGGGGAATGGCTTCACACTGAAAGAGAGTAGATTTAGATTAGATAATAGAAAAAATCTTTACTGTGAGAGTGGTGAGTCACTGGAAGAGGTTGCACAGAGATGTTGTGGATGCCCCATCCCTGGAAGTGTTCAAAGCCATGCTGGATGGGGCTCTGAGCAACCTGGTCTAGCAAAAGGTGTCCCTGTCCACGGCAGAGGGGTTGAAACTACATATCTTTAAAGTCCATTCTGACCCAAACCACTCTATGATCTTTTTACTTACGCTACAGCTACATTAAAAGATGTCTAGAATGGAACAGGAGCTGAAAATCTTCATGAAGTATCTATTTTTAAAGAACATATTTGCAAAATATTGTACAGCTAAAGCTCTGTACTTCCTATGCACAGCTGCATTTTTTCCTGACAGCATTTCAGTGCAGTTTTAACCAAACAAAACAGACTTAACTGCTAATTCAAAGACACGCTTTGTTTTCAAAGAATGACAACTCAAATCTTTAAAGAAGGAAAAAAATTTAGCTAAAAAAATTGAATTATTTTACTTTTCCAGAAGAGGTTGTAAAGGATTTATTAGAGCCAAAGTTTCTCTTCATATTGATGACTAACTCAACACATCTCATTTTTTACAGCTAGAAAGTACATCCAGGTAACGTGAAACACACTTCAAACAAACACAGAAAACATTTCAACTGAGAAGAGCAAATTTATATGAAGCAACTCATAGCTATACATGCAAGTACACAACTTGTTACACATCCACAACTGGGCAGCAGGACACTGTCGACTGCAGATTTCCAACATGGATCTTTCCTCTCATAATCTGCTCCTCCCAGTCCCTCAGGTAATTATAACTGTGGGGAAATACAAGGTTTGCCACAGAGTAGCATATCAATGGCTCATCTTTCCCTTTATCACACTTAATATGTTTATGCTTTACCTGACTAAAAGCAAGGCCCTTACTGAGCAACCACAGAATAACAGAACACTTGTCTACACAATTAAGGCATTCCAAGTACATAGAGAGAGTCAGATAAGGAGGTGTGTGTGATCTGCTCCATTTAAATATCTCTACAGTCTGAGTTAGCTGTAGATATGATACCATTATGCCTTAAATTAGAAACTGCAGGCAGAGAAAGCACTTGATGGAATCACACACCTTTTTCAATCCCATGGCTCTTCTAATCCCTAGGTTATCTTAACTCAGTACACTACAGTTACTAGGCCTGAGTTAACAAAGTTGCAGACATCTGTCAGTTTTCTGAGTGATTTGTTCAGCAGCACAAAATGAGCCAGTGTACAGAGACTGAATAAGGACCCAACAAGTTGATAGCCAGGGTCCTCCAGGAAGCTCCCAGCTCTAGTGTGCTAACCACACACCTTGTCCAAGTTTACACCAAGGGAGCCATTACTGCAAACTGAGGCATAAACCTTTGGCTATGCTTTAATTGTTAATGCTGTAAATAATGCAAAAAGAAAAGCACCTGCAGAACCTTTCGGAGCATTACAGTCCAAAAGCACGTTCATCAGCATTGGTACTGCTGGATGGCACTCAGGTAGTAGTTCTCCTCTCATTTCTCAAGTAGCTTGACAAAACATGGTTTCATGGAAGAGACATAAGACTAATTTTCATGACTCACAATACTAACATTTAATTTGCAGAATCTAAGTTTATTAATGTATTTGTAATGTTAAAAGTACCTCACCAAACAGTTAGGTGAAAAATGAAGGAAAAAGATTACAGAAACTGAAAATAATGTCCAAATTGCTAAATCAGGACAATGTAAAAAAAGATAATCATTGGGAGAGGAGAAATCAAGTTTTCCCCAATAAAGTTTTGTTCTAATGGCCTCAAATTGCTTTGGTGGGTTTTAGTGTGGGTTTGTGTTTTTTTAATTTTGACAAATGACACTTTTTAAAGTGTGCCTTTGGACTCTTACTCACATTTACAAAAACCTTTGGGAAATACTTCCCCTTCCATTTAATTCAAGGTCTTTCCTCCCAAAAGCTCTTAGCTACTGAAGAGAAAACAGTATGGAGGGGGGAAGAAAGAGGTAAGCAGACCAAGGTATGTGTAAGTACAATAACCATTTCCCATGGTTTCGCAGTATATGGGAATTCAAATTCCAGTTTCAGCTGCCCAGTGTTTTGAAAGAAATGCTTTGCAAAATCAAAGACTTCCACAAGAAGACAAGGACTTCACAGTACCCATGAATTTCAAACTAGATAGTTTGAGAATGCTGCCTTTTCTCCCAAACCCAAGTATTCATATATCTTAAATCAAAACATTTATTTCTAGAAAGACAGACAAACAAAACCAAGGCACATTATTGCAGACCTAAAACTAGATAAAGGTCTTAGACTAAAACAGCAGGAAAAAAAGATAAAGATTTCTCCTGATCTTTTCAGACCTAAAGATTGCAAAGGTAATACAAAGAGTCAGAAATTGTGGAAAAGAAGTTTTCAGGTAGAAGTCTGATTAAATCCTGCCCTCTGTTTCAATGCAAAGAACATGAATTCTGACAATATTTTGAATCCTGAAACAATGTTTGGTCCATGTAAAGTGCATTTACACTGCATATATGATACAGAACAATACACACAATACAAAGCAAAAAAATGTAGGTCTTTAAAAAAAGCTTAGGTTTGTCATGGTTTTAAATTAACGTGCACCATTTTCTTACCTTGCAAATAGTCTCTGTATCCCAGGGTAAGATGGTCCTCAGATCAATAACTTCACAGGACACACCAAGTTTTTCTTGAGCCATTGTTGCCACCTCTTTGATCACATGTACCTGAAAAAGCAATGTATTATCACCAAAAAAAAATGTAAATTCTGTTTAAGTTGTTATAAATTATGCATATTCTAACAGTGATTATATCATCTGCATGTTGAGCAGAGACATTTCTCTTCAGTAAAAACCATTTATTACTCAGTTCATTCTTATTTACTACTTACATTATTCCTAGTATTTTAGCATCTCTCCAAAAACTAACTTCACCAAAGAATCACTGAGAACAAAACTCTCACTTTCTAGAAAAGTATCTTTCAGTGAAGAGTATCAGGCCTCACTGTGTTGTATTTGTAGTTAGTTTGAATAAGTTTTAGAAGCTTTTTATTAGGACTGTAACTAAGCTAAGACCCAAATACTTCAGAGTAATGCACTTTGATGTAGCAGTCACCAGCAATCCTGCAGGAAGCATTATGTACATTCAAAAATTCTACACTGCACTATCCTTGATCTCAGCCACAAAGCTGAGAGACGGGTCCAGCAGTCCCAGTAACTACACTTTTTACAACACTGAAACAGATAACTGACTGATCATCTCCAGAGTATTATCTTACAAACAGCTAGGAGAGAAAGTAAACACCACATAAAGTTACCTGTAAATATCCAGTCCTGATCCCCACAATCACAGGCTATGGGCATTAGTATGATAATATAACAATTTACTGGTCTTCCAGCAAATAGTTTAATACCACCATAACAAACGTTGCATTATCTGATTACTGTAATTAACACTTTACTAAAACAAAAAAGTATTCCCCTCTAGCGAGAGGCTATTACTGAACCGGAATACAGATTATTCACCCTCCACCAGTCAAGGAATCTATTCAGTAGCATATGTAACTGCGTCACAGTAGATGTCAAACAATCCACATCTATTACCATCCTTTTCATAAGGTATAAGAGTGGAAATGAAAGCAATACTACATACCTTCAAAATTGTAATCTGACATTATGTTATAAAACACTTAAATAAAATGTGTTTCAAGCACTGGCTTCCCTAAAATAAACATGTGCAAGCAAATGCTCCAACACGGAAAATAACAACTGTTACGACAATAACTCAGATAATCCTCCACAAATATCTCAGCATGAAGTATTTCCTCATGAGATATGAAGATAAAAAAATTTCTAGATATGATGCTGCCAATAAAATCTGAGGCTCTCTTTATTGTTCAAATATTCATAATATAGGTTTTGGACTGTGGCAGACCTCGATCAAGCAATTTCTAGACATAGTAAGGGGTTGGAGGCCAAACACGATCCCCAACAAGCAATTTGGATAAGGTCATCTTGATCTTGAAGTCAACCGAATTTAACAACATCAACATGGTCAGGCCATGTCAGTTGCCTGAGGGTCAGAGAGCATTAATAAATTCTACACGGATTAAAAAATATACACAGAAACAAGATGATTAAGGATTTAAACACACAACTACATCATGCAAATATGAACAGCTAAACACCAAAGAACTGTTTTAAAAGGTAAATCAATAGAAGTATTGTAGTAATAGAGAGGAAGTATAGCTTGCAGTATTTTTGTTTAAACTTCTAATACATCTGTAGCTGTAAGAAGAATGTTTGAGAATGTTCAATATGGCACACGGGATGGATATTTTTGCCATTTCTCTGACGTAAAAGGGAAAACACTTACCTAGCTCACAGAGGATAAGGATTAGCTAAAGACAATAAAAGACTGAGCATAACTGGAGAGGAACTAAAAGCCTTTGCTGTCCTTCATTAGCACCACCCAGGAAAGCTTGCATAAGGGAACCCCACTGGAGCAGCAGCCAAGCAACTCCCTTATGTTCAAAAACGTACGAGAAGTTACCAGTGAGTATGTGCAATCACTCTGCCTACTGACTGTAAGTGTAGGACTGGTAGCACAGTTAGAAATCAAAGTTTAGGTACACAACCCACAAACATTCTCTGCACAAACTCACTGAACATATTTGATCTGCATAACCCCGGCACATCCAGAACATGCTGGATTTACTGCATATGTGTGAAACATCTATCTCTATGATGTATTACACAGCCACACCCATGGTTTGGTCAACTCCTAAATCTGGATTAGGGCTGCACATCTGTTCTATTACTACTCACATCAAAAGAAATGCCTGTCTTAACTTTTTCCAAGTACCAAAGTACAGAGGTTTCTTGAAGGGTGTTACTCCAAGTCCTCTCTGCACTACTGCCTGTGGTGTAAATCAAGCATATTATTAAATCTCCATAGCCAGCTTCCAAGCCACTACTTTATCAATATCCAATTGAGAGAAATGATACAAGTAAAGATATTTAAGAAGTCCACAATTTAATACTAGTGCAAAGTATCAGAAGCTAATAGGAATAACCACAGATATAAAGGAGATCAAGTATGGCCAGTCTTCACGAACGAAGATCTGGGAAAGGTCTTTACCCTTCGAGCCTGTGCAGTGGATTTTTTAGGTGAGACACAGTGTGCGCTGAGCTGAGCCCACCCTTTAATCCTAAGGTTCATCTGCCGGGGCCAAGCGAGCTTGGACAGTGGCAGTGAGGTCCTCAGGATGTAGGTTTGTTTAGAGTGACCTTCTCTTAGATGGATGGCCTTACAGGGCTGACGAGCTCCATCTGTCCAGGGGAGTTTCCCTGACCGGGAATCGAACCCGGGCTGCAGCAGTGAGAGTGCTAAAGGAGATCAAGTAGTCTGAGGACAAGGAAACTACCACAGAAAAGCACCAAAGACTACAAATTTCAAACAAAAGCCAAGCAAAAACCAAACAACAAAGAAACTGATGACAACAAGAAGGTACAACCCCAGAGATCAATTCAATATTCTTGTGATGAAAGTTTAACACTCTCTCCTCTAAAAGCTTCTCAAATACAACCAGGCCAAGAAAACAGCAATTTCTGGAAATTCCAAACTATACTGAAGTTTCTCTTTTCTATATTTCTGGAAAAGGAAGGTGTATTTTCTTACCAGATTTTTCAATATTTGCACATCTTAATTTGGCAATGTTTGTATGTGTCCAATCATGTTCTTGAACAGCTTTGAAATGTAACTGTTAGAATCAAAACTACAGTAATCCCTATTTGTATTACATGTTCAGTGAATTTTTAACTCTGTGTAAAGGGAACCCCAGACTGCACTTCTTTAAAACCTGCAGTAAAAATCTATACTTTTCTTTCAGCATACTATTTTGAACTTTCCTTTCCCACCACCTTCCTCAGAGTCACATCTCACTGCCCCATTCTTAAATCTGTCACTTTCATAATCATAAACAAATCATTAACCTCCTGCACAGGCCCTCTTCCATATTTCCAGAGTCATCTTCAATTGAAAATGACTAATAACTTGCACAATAAAAAGCAGGTTTCATATAACTACAAACACTGATAAACGTTTATTCAAGCATATAGTGATGGAAGATGCATGCAGTTTATTATCTGGCATGTGAGCTTGAATTCAAACGTCACCTGACCCATGGCCTAGGCTTTGCTGGGTGACAAATAGCTTGTGAGAGCGTTACCAACCTGTGTGCCCCAAGCAACCATTGTCACATCACTGCCCGTCTGCAGCACCTCAGCTTGAGACAGTGGAATGTTGTAGGGCTCCACAGGAACTTGTTCCACTGAATAAATTTTTGAAAAAAGAGGAAAATAAGCATTAGATTCCTCTAGTATTCAATATTACCTCATAAAAACATACACTAAAAATTTTCTTCAGTGTTACTGCCATCTAAAAAAATTGATCAAAATAACATTAAGTATTAGCATTCATTTCAAAGATTTAGCTGTAATACAGATTATTTTTAATTACACTGTTAAAAATACATTCACTGTAGAGTTTAATTCATGTTATATACCACAATAAGATGCATATATACACATACAAAAGACAGTAAGAAGTCCTGGTGTATAACAAGTCAAAATATCAGCATCAGATTTGGAGATGGACACTGCTACTTTTGATAAAAAAATGTCAAATAACCAGTGCGGTAAATTCTAATAATCATCAAGACAGTCTTGAAATTATACGTCAATACTCAGACAAGGAGGAACAAAGGAACAGCTGTGCCAGCACCCTCCTGATATCTGCCAAGAACAATGCTCCACATTTTTATGTTTAAATTTAGGGAAAAATTTTCAGAACCTACACATAAAGGGTCAGCAAAAACTTCTCATTATAGCAATTTTAAATTAGTCAAAACATTTCTGCTTTAAAAAAAGGTTATCTATTCACCAAAAATACACCAAAATTAGAGAGAGTAGGCAAAAATTAGGCATCTTGTCTTCTCTATGAAATTCGAATTTATTTTTTTTTTAATTACAGCAGATGATTTTCTTTTTTCCTTGTCAGTAACGATATATAAATATCACATATTTCAGAGAAGCACAGAATGGTTGAGGTACAAAGTGACCTCTGGAGACCACCTAGGCCAAGCCCTCTGCTCAGTACAACGGCACCAGTCATTCAGGGTCATGTCCAGTTAGGTTTTGAGTACTCCCATGGTCAGAGACTCCACATCTTCTCTGGGCAGCCTGTTCCTGTATTTGATCACCCTCACAGTAAAAACGTTTTTGTCTATGCTTACGTTAGAGATATATCACTTTACCTGAACAGGCACAGAAGGGACATACATATTAACTAAATCAATCTTTCTAAAAATATAACAGGAAATTCTTTTTCAGCATAATTCAACAACAAATGTTCATTTAATCAAAGAAAAAAATTTAAAATGTATTTTAAACACAAGGTGCTTTTCAATATAGGAAAAAATCAGAACTATTTGCAAACAATTTTAATGTACTAAAATATCAGTGTCTTTCTGCATTAATTTCTTTGAATAACAAGTGGCTAAATGAATACAGGGCTGGGAAAGAAAGAGAAGAAAGGCACATCTAGCCCTTGCTCATTGCATTTTACTGGTTGACAGTAAAGCAAACCAGGTTTCTATGGATTTTGCACATGGTAAAACCCCAGGCAAAAGAAAGAGGTTCTGAAAGATAACAAAACCCACGACTGTACTAATTGGATTTGCATAACTGTCTTTGTCATGAGATGGTCATCTACATGAAACCTGGAGAACAAGAAACTTAAAAATATGCAATGGGACCCTTGAATGGAAACCCAGGCAACTGACATGAAGGAGAAGGTTTTGAAGTGAGTGGGATGCACAAGAGGAAGAATTGGAAGGTGTACATGATACAAAAAAGAGCTTTTTCTCTGTGTAATGGTTCTATCCACTCAGGAAAATTAAATATAAAATAAAATTACACAAATTAACGAGTTTCTTATGATAGCTAAACCGTTCTGCAACAAGATGTCCATTAGATGAGCTCATCTATAATTCCTGACAATTTTAAATGCAAAATTCAGCTTAGTCAAAATTTTATAAGGAGGTCCAGATTTGGCAGGATTTTCTTTATATGCCTTTGCAAAAACTCCTCTCCCCACTAATAATGACGAAAAGTAGCATATTAAACTATTCTATGAATATTCTTTCATAATAACTATCTAAATCAGGATGACAATGTTTACATACAAAGCAGGCCAATCACCTATTACTGAAGAAATAAAGTATTTTAAGTTGTGTTTCAAATAGAGCAACTAATAAAAAGTTGTAATTATCAGCAAAAAAGGGCCATCACATTAATTTTAAGAGGCTCTAGCATCTGTTGGTTTTCCTAAAGGAGCAGTCTGAACAGCAGAAAGAAAACACGTTTTCTCATCTTACCTGTCTTGTCTCTATAACAACCAGTGATGCAAGTCGTATTTATTTCTACACCACCAATGTCATATATAGTACAATTAAATGAAACTGAAAAGGTCAAAAAACATTAGAGTAGGTTCTCCACAAGATGTCTAAACCTGATAATGTCAAGGTGACTCATCTTCTCCTTTGATTCACAACCATTATGTGCTCTTGACACTGCACAGGCTGTTAACTACTTTTCATAAATCAAAGCCTCCTTTTTCTTTTTAATTCAGATATTTTCTTAGTATCTCTGACATTTACAGGGACGTCACTACAGCACTTTCAATAACATCATGATGTCGTAAGTTAAATAGCAACAGAATTCTCTCTGTATATGTGTACTTGTATACTTAACTCTCTATTTTTACCCAGAAAGGCTTACATTTCTTTTCTCCTTTCTAATATTATTGAAGGACAACTAACATACACAAAACTTCTGAAGAACACTTGTATGGTGATGTGGAAGAAGATAGCATCTGCTCCTTTAAGGGTGTCTGGACAAGGAACTTTATAATGCAAAAGGGTATAGAGGAAGAGGAAGAAGCCATAAGGAAGAACACACAGGGACACAAACATAACCACCAAAGGATGAGGGTGGCAGTTAGGAGAGCCAAACCTGCTCAGTCCCACTTACTGATAAGGGTATGAGGAATATGGGAGTGTTTCTTTCAGTAAAACTATCTTATGAGGACCTTGTCAAATAGGATGATAAAGAAAAAGAAGAGGCTCTAAACAAAATATAGAGACACAAACTTGAAAATAAACACAGCAAAGAGAAGAAACAAATTTGGTCAGGAACACTCAGTGAAGGACTATCGAGAAACGATGGGCACACCAGGAATTTGCAACCTCAGGGTCCAGGGAATTGGAGCAAATGTGGAACTAGATCAGCTGATGAGGGCATAAGAAGGTGAATGGGGTTGACAAAGAGCAAAATGGGGAAGAAACAGAAAGGGTTATAGAAGGGGTCAATTGCACATAAAACAGGGCTGGTCAGCACATTTGTCTGACTGAGCCCTGTGCCTCATCGCAGTGGTCAGTCCCAGCTTCTTTGGAAATCCTGTCCAGTGCAAGGACAGTGTGCTGCAAGGACTAAGTAGCAGCTGCTGGTGAGACAAATATGAGAAGACAAGATACTGGGCCAGCAAGTGGAGACAAACCAGGGTGCAGAAACCCTAAGCCTATGGTGTGACCAGCAGGAGCAAGTAGGGGGCCTGGCCACCAGCTGCTGGGAATAACATGTGGCCCAAACACAAGTTATCAGGTCCCATGGGGACCACAAAGGGCTGTTAGACTGGCTAAGATCCTTCACTCAAGAGTTTTGAAAGCTAAAGAGCCATCTGGGGGACGCTCACTGTCATTCTCACTCCATATATGTACAACCAAGTTGGGGTGACACTGCCATAACTGTCCAGGGAAGTCAAAAAAGAGTAACATTGAGCACTCCAAAGAGCTCAGGTGCACTGAGAAACAGCAAGTCCTCTGCTAAACAAACTGCTAGCAAAGTGAGTGACTGTGTTAGAGAAATAGGCACATGGGCTTAACCACAAATGCAGCGCTGTCCTGCTTCACAGTATGGCAAGTACAAATCTGCAGTTACTAGCTACAACTATGCATGGTAAATATACTTTTTTTTCTTTTCTGGTCTAGCTACTGCTTTATGATATAAGTCTTACATACATATATAGCTACTTATACATATATTCACATAGATAACAATATATATACACCTATACATAAAATCATGTATCTGTATATGAGGACTATTTCAACTTGTTTGCACACTAGAGCTAATGCATAATATGAAACTTATCAATTCATTCAAACAAAATAGTGCTCTTCTGTAACTTCTAAAATTTACCATTAACAGATACCAAGGTAAAGTTTAAGATCCAGTTCTGGGGTTGTCTGCACAGGAAAGACAGAGCTATTGCAACAGGTCCAGAAGAGGGCCATGAAGATGATCAGAGGGCTGGAGCACCTCTCCAATGAAGACAGGCTGACAGAGTTGGGATTGTTCAGCCTGGAGAAGAGAAAGCTCCAGGGAAATTTATTGTGGCCTTTCAGTACTGAAAGGGGGCTTATAAAATAGTTGGAGATGGACTTTTTAGCAGGGTCTGCTCTGACAGGATGAGGGGTAAAGGTCAGTTTAGATTAGACATAAGGTTTTTACAATGACGGTGGTGAAACACTGGAACAGGTTGCCAACAGAAGCTATGGATGCCCCATCCCTGGAAACACTCAAGGTCAGGTTGGACAGGGTTCCAAGCAAGCTGATCTAGTTGAAGATGTCCCTGCTCATTGCAGTGGGGGTTGGAGTCGATGACCTTTAAAGGTCATTTGCAACCAACACTATTTTATGATTCTTTGATCTTAGCTTTAAACCCATTACCTCCTTTTGGTGTTGTCAGGGCTCTTGGATATTTAAGGTGTGGGTTATTTTTTGAATGAACTGGAAAACATTTCCGAAACATTCTTGCAAAGTTGTCCTTCACTTTGGAATTTGCTTTTTCTTCTTGGTTCATCACAGTGTGAATATGGCGAACTTAAGGCAATGCTACTTGGATATTCACCTGGGATCCACAAGAATGACTAAGGTGAAGACTAAAGGTCTGTATTTACTCTTGTATCTTATGTGGGCAAAGGCATGTTTGGATAGCAAATATTCATATAGAAATTAATGTTCATTTATTAACATGGTTAGTTTTACCACATGTCTGAACAAGCATACAATACATTTGAATAGGCAAATTTGTGTTCATTTGTGAAGACATTCAGCTAATCTCATTATTCCAAAACTATAGCAAGCAATCACACTTTCCATGTGATAGCTGCACTGAAATATTTTGTCCTACAGCTCTGATTTACCTTGGAGACCAGACTTATAATTCAAAACACTTTTGAAGATTCTTTTCTCCTCTGTACAATGTCTTTACCGTTACGGGGGAAAAAAACCTATGCTTGAATGTTGCAAAACCTGCCCTGTCATCAGCAACCAAAATAAAAAACCCAAACAAACAAAAACAAACAAAAAAAAATGAAAGCAATTAGTGGGCCTATATAGCTCCTTGGAGGTATGCATCAGATGCAAAATCACAAGACTGGTTCTGCACAAGACCTTATATAAAACAGCAATGACCTGGCATCCTGCTTAACATTCTGGAGATGCAACTTCAGGCTCTACATCCTAAGCTAGATACATATGACCTCCTATCACTGGCATTCAACATCTAATTACAACAATAATAGCAACACTTGGGAACAGAAGCATAGGACATAGTTTTGTGGTGGTTGGGGTGTAGTGGATGTGGGATTTTTGTCATTTTTTGTTTGGTTTGGTTTGATTTTTTTGTTTGTTTTAAACAAAGCGTTATTAGCTTCAGCCAACATGAATAAGGACAGGTATTCTGTGTTTTAAAGACTACCCCGCCTACACCCTATTTTCAGCTGTATTATATATAATTCCAAGTATATTAGCAACTCTAAAAAGAAAATTCTTAGACAAATACTTAAAGACCTCATAAGGAGAAAGAAAACTCCATTAGAGGAAAATGACAAGGCTCAAAAGCCTACATTAATTTTACAGATAGAAAATCCTCCTTCCCATTAATGTCTTTGACACCTTATTTTTTCAATGATGTTACACGCCCACTGTAACATCAATCACAAAGCTCTCTGAACAAACACATCTATTCAACATGAAGCTAGAACAAAAAGAAATGTTATGGTAGGGGCAATACAATTTCACTATTCAATGCCTTGGCCATCATCATGGAAATAAAGAAAATTAATTTTTGTCTGGAACAACGAGGTCCCAGATCTTAGATGGAGTTCTATACCATGCCATGATGATCCTGGTCCATTTCTGAATCCACCAGGCCACTTTGTTTCAATGGTGGAATTATAAGAAACCCTGACTATGGCCAGCAGCATAAGAATGAACTCCAACAGAGATTAATTTCATAGGAGAAACTCCCAGACACCAGTCATCTTCCAGTTCAAGCTGACCCACAAAGGAGAGTTTAACAATTGGGATGATGAACTAATGAAACCGAGGGAGAGGTTTGCAATGAAAATAAAAGGAACATAAAAACCATTTCACATAATAAAATGTTCATACTTTACATTGTAGAAACAATAAAATGTCCATGTATACAAAAGAAGTTACCTCTTGAAATCATCCCTGTCACATGTTGACACAAATGTACTATAAATTTCAGCCTACATAGCTAAACTGATGTTCTTAGAAATTTTACGACAAAAAATACGTAAGTAATGTCTCTGACAATCAGGCCACCAGAATTTAGGAGGAAATCACAGTCTTTCAGAAAACTACCACAACAACAACGCTGCAGCTGGTTGTTGACCAGCACATAAATCACATTAACCAGTATTTCACCACATTCTTTACTCAAGATTTCAATCACAAGACTGATTTATGTTCACTAGATGATCCAGCAATTGCTTTACAAGTCATTTCCTCAAACAGAAAAACCTCCCTCTATTCTCAAAAGCTGTGTGATATTGATGTGCAGCCATTCATGCCAGTATGAAAGAAAGTATTTTATTAACTCTACAGTCTGTATTTGTGACTTGTAAATACGAGTGGAAAGGGAAGAAATAAAGGGTTGTTTTAAAGACACTTCATTTTTTTTCTTTGCTTAACAGAACTCAGACTCAAGCTCATTTTTCAAACTAAATACTCTAAACTGAATGGGCGGAAATCTTTTTGCCAAATTTTAGTAAGCTCTCAAAACACACTGAACTTAAGGAATGCAACACCCTTTGAGTGCATCACACCTCACCACACTAAAAATAGCTGCACTGTTAAATTTACATTGCTAATCAGATTTCTGAGTCTTTTTTTTTAAATATAAAGCAAATAAGCAGTTTCACCAGTAAACATCCTATTTGTTCCCAAGCTATATTGCTATTTTTTTGTAGCTTTGATGTCTGCTTTCTAAATCTTTCCCTTGTTATCCTTCTTCTCTCTTCTCTAGGAAGAGGATAAATTTACTAACAAAGTGGATGTACTGACGGAAAAGTGCTGCTAAAAGAAAAATACAAACACTTTGTCCTTCACTCAACTTCAGGTCACACAGAGTCAACTTATAAATGAGATTGATGGATCCCAGCATAGTTTGCATATAAAGTTATAGGACACAGAAACACTAAAGTTAAATGATGGCTTGAGTTCTATTTTCTCAACTGCTCACCCAATTACTCTGCCTATCTCCACATGCAAAATTTTTCATCCATCTTCTGTTCTCAGCCCAATTTCTCTGATCTAAAGAAGTACCAGTTAATTTTTAGAACCAACGCATACACCATCATCAATTTACTATGTTTCAATAAGTTACACATAAGACAGCTGTGAAAGTTTCTTTGAACCAAAAAGTTCACTATGACTAAAACAAATGAAAAAAGTAATGGCAATCTCATTTCCTTTCAAATAAGATTAAAATCTATGTGGGAAGATTTTCAAGATTTTTAGAAATTACACATTTCAAAGAAATTCTACACTTTGCGAAAATGGTGATGGTGGGGTTCAGTTCTTTTGGAAACAAACTTTGATCTGGAAACTTATTTTAGTATCTAGAGTTATCACAAGAAAGCACTTTAATTTCTGTCAAATTTATACTGCAGTTTGATAAGGAATAATGCCACTTAGTTCTATTTCCTCTTTTTTTTAACCCAAGACTGTATAAAGCATTCCACTTCCAAAGTTAATTGAGCATGAATCAGACTGTAAATGTTCATTTATCCTTGCAGTCAGATTTAGACATCTCATCCAATTTTCACAATTCCTCTAAAAACCCAAGGCCCAACATAGCTAGAGACCAAACAAGTTAAGACTTCTGCTGAAATATTGTTTTAGCAGTGACTATCAACATATATGTGCAAAAAAAAAAAAAAAAAAAAAAAAAAACCCACACAAAACTTTACCTGCAGCTCTGTAAAGTATTTTAGGTTCAAAAAATATGCATGGATTTTTGTCCTCTATGCATGACAGCAGCAATCCTTTGGCCTGAAGAGGACTCCTTGGAATAACAACCTGTAAAAACATTTTTATATAATTTATTTATATTGAAATTCTGCTAGAAACTTCCTCAATACTACTTAAAACTAAGCAATTATTTGCTTTAAATGAATCTATATACAGATTGAGCAGTTCTTACAAACTGAATTAGTAATGCAGCACTGATGCTCACACGCATTCTAAATTTTTAATTTTATTTTGTTCATTGATGAGGCTTTATAAGCTCCCCTCTATACCTTGATTTAAACACTAAGAGACTCCTCTCAGATAAGGTAGAACTAACATCTTAACAACACTTGCGGTAAAAGGAACGGAAGAAAGTCAGACAGATTAAAATATATATAAAATATATATAATACTTCATATATATATTCACATATATATAAACTTAGTAAAATTAATGTAGATGTTTAAAAAAATTCAGCTGAGTGATCCTCGGTTGCTTGGGTAAAGATTCGTCAGAACAGACCTAGAAGGTTTTCAGACTTAGTCCAGTAAGTTTTGAAGACTGAAAAAGGAAACAGCTATTTAAAGTCGACTTTCTTTTTTTGTGTTGGAAGCCTGAAATGTGTTCGTTTTGGAAATGAACAAAAACTGATACATACCTTAAATATCAAGTACAGAAAACTAAGCAAAGCCTCCAAATGTAATCTGAATACTTGGAAGAAAAAAGTATAACATATTTGCCAACAGAAGAGTTAATTTTGGATGATCTAAGAGAATGTTAGTTACGAAGAGAAAATTAGCAAATTATCACAGTTTAAACGAAAGTAGAACTCAAGAGCTCAATTCCCTCAAATCAGAAAAACCAACTAATTTACATCCCAGAGACTTCAAAGAGCTGGCACATGCTGCATGAAGTCTACATTTTTATAGCTGTGGAGTCAGAAGTGGCCCCCTCTGACTGAAAACATTAGTTGTAGTACTTGTTAAAAAAAAAAAGTAATCCATGTTTACTAGAGTCATGTTAACTTACTGCCTACAGGAGTTTCCAAGGCTTCAAATATGTTTTGAGAATAATAACATTTATTTATATTAAAGTAATAGAAAAGAGTCAAAACACAACCTAAATCTGCTATTACATCAAATTAACTTGATACGTGATTTTTCTAAACAAGGGAGAAGCAGACTATCATATTTCACCAAAGCATGTAGTAACAGACACATGGGAAATTACCCATGGATGTTACTAGTACAGCTCATTGGGGATCATTTTTAGGACAGACTTTATTTACCTTATTCACTAATGATAAGTCAGAACACAGTAGTGAAAGCTATTCCAAAGCTGGGAGTGACTACCACTACAGAGGATGATACCAAAAAGACCCATAGCAAACTGACAATAGCAAATGGAAAAATACATACTGAAAAGTCATGTTTAACGACCACATTTTTGTTATAAATTGATGCCTTAAGCCCCTAACAGTTTTTTATTTTTCTAGTTTTTACAAGCCTTATAAGTTTTATAAAGTAGTAGAAGTAGATTTTTAAAGCAGCAACCCTCACTCCCTCTTCCCTGTAGCACCCTTAGTTTACACATTCCTTAACCCTCTTACCCCATTCCACGTACCCTATATCACTCCTACCCCCAAATCCAGTAGAACTGTTTAGTCTCTTGTCAAGGCAAGGCCTAGACTGTTTGGAGAACAGCCATATCAGGGCCTGAATAACAAAATGGAGTCAAGAATTAGGTGACTGTGTGCACTCTGTGCCCCAAAGAAGATGAAGATTGATGAAGAGGTGGTCCCGAAATACACCCCAGACCCATTTCTCGGGGGTGGACCCGGGGCGGATCGGAGCAAAGGCCACAGGGTGGACACATTTGGGATTGGATAGATGGTATTATAAAATGTAACATCTCGGGCACAGGGGTGCACATGTCGTGTAACATCTATTGCCTTGGTACATTAAACCCTTTCCTTATCTCACCCCTAATTAACTGCTCCGGAGTTATTTTTTTAGCACCAACATTCCAGGGCATCAAATTTAGAACTCAGCAGCAGAAATTCAGATCTGAATTTATTATCTGCTCAAAGGATAACTAGGACACTATGCAGTACATAATAACATAGCCAAGGAACTTTTCTTGCTATTGCAAAAATCACTGCTAGAAACTTAACTAGAATACTTTATGACTATATCAACCCTTTGGAAAAAAAAATTAATGAAACAGATGTCAAAAGAGCTCCAGAAATTGTTAACATTACTTCGATAGTTTGATTTGTTTAGTCTAACAAAAGGAAGACTAAAGAGAATACAACTGTTTTAGTACATGAAACAGAAGATGAAGAAGAGATACATTAAACTTATAAGTTAGTCAGGAACAAATTTAGGCTGGAAATGAAAAGAAAGCTTCTAGCCACGACAGCAAATATTCTTACAATGGAATGCAGAGAATCAATATTAATGTCTTCCATCCATTAAGAAGTACATCCTCACAACAGCAGACAAAAGATACAACCATTCAGTAGTGTCCTGTCACCTCAATAAGACTTAGGCTAAGTACCAATGACTGCAGTTCTTCCCCTGAATAGCCAAAGTTGTACAAACTCCCGTTGGCTTGGGAAATCCAAATCTCACCTGCCACTTAAGAAAAACACAAAATAGAAGGGCAAAAACCTTCCACAGAGTTTAGTAAGAGGATGGTTATGAAGACTGCTCTCCCAAAGGTCAAACCCTACCCTTCTCAGCTTGTAAGACATCGCCTTTCCTTCTGTAATAATGGAGAAAATACACGTAGACACAGGACATTTGAGAATGCATCTGAACCACAAGTTCATGTGCACTTCTTGATTCCCGTGTTAAAGGCTAGGTTTGGGTTCATTCAAAAATATCTGCAATCTTGAAATTATATAACTGCATTAACAAACAGCTTTGCAAAAAATAATAAAGGGACAGCACTGTTTTCACAAAGCAACAATATTCAAAAGATGGAGTCTACAATTAATGTGCCCTTTATCTTCAACTGAGATGACAGCTCTTAGTGGTAGTAATCTGTTTTAGAACTTTACCCAAGGAAAAGTGAAAGGAAGTCCAAAATCAACAAGAAGAAATATCAGAGGTGGGAGCAAAGAACTTATATTACGCAGCATGACTAAACAAAATTCTGACTTACTAACTTATTGAGAAGACTATGCACCGGTCTAGGTAGTATCAGAATTAGAAAGAGCTTTAATCACCTGAGTGGACCACTAACCTTCAGCATTTGGTTCAGTATATAAAAATTTGAGATTGACCAACAAGATCAGTAAAAATTATATAGACCTGGCATCAGTATTTTAATCATGTAAGTTATCTTGTGCTTTCATATGCTAAGAAACTACTTTAGTTTATAAACAAGATCAAGAAACCATTTGATTCAATTACCTCGCAAAAGATTTTGGAGATTGCTTTTGTTTGTATCAGGAAACACTTTCAAGTTCAGAATAGGAACACCTCAAATATCATAAAGAACACCCAGAGAAAAAATGTATCCTCATTCCTCAAATATCATGAAATAAAATGTGAATAATATAAGGGATTGTATTTAAGTAAAGACAAACAAGAAGGAGAAATGGCTATGGTCTCCCTGTAGGTGAGTTATATCTGAAGATTTAGAATACCAAAATCATACATGGACAACAGTTTAAACAACAGATAAACAATGAACATGTGTCTTTAGCATGCAAATACCAGTTCTGCTTAAGTCTCCCACATTAATCAGCTATGAGTCATTGCTCAATGGTCTGGATGCCAGCTAATCCAGAAGTACAAGTTTATAGACAAAAGTTTACTCAGAAAAAAATGGAGAGCTGGCAAAAAGTGCTCTCTTAATCTGAGATGACTAGATCCTGCAGCTCCCTCTAATCATTAGCAAACTTAGTTTCTAGGGATGCCACCACCTCATGTGGAAAGTCTGCCTAAAGTTATCACTCAGAGAATCACCAAGCAGTTGAGGTTGGCAGGGACTTCCAGAGATCATTTGGTTCAACACCCTTGCTCAAGCAGAGCCATCCAGAGCCAGTTGCCCAGAACCATGTGCAGACAACTTCTGAATGCCTCCAAGAATAGAGACTCCTCAATCTCTCTGGGCAAGTCGTGTCAAGTGCTTCCTCATGTTCAGACAGAACCTCTTGTGTTTCAGTTTGTGCCCACTGCCTGGCACTGCCATTTATATAAATTGATTCAATAATGCACTTAAGACAGATACAGAAAGGAAAAAAAAATAAAGTACTACTTATTAAAGTTTTCAGGTTCTGTACTATACTGGACACACAACAGTGTAAAATGTATGTTTTTAGTGCAAAAAGCACACAAGTAAAAAATGCTATGTCTACTTAAGATTGCTTCAATAATGGCTAAAAATTCTCTAACACTTAACATAGTTTAAGTTTTATAAACTAAAAACTTCTAATAGTTTTTAATTAACACATTCAGATATTTTGCTGACGACCTTTCTTCCCCTGCCTGCATCCAGACTCATTGTTAGTCCAGTCCATTACAAAACAAACAAATAAAATTCATCTTCATAAAATAAGAGTTACTGTACCTTTATTCCTGGACAGTGAGCAAAAAAGGCTTCTGGACTTTGAGAGTGATATAGTGCACCATGACCCACACAGCCCCAGGGTGCTCTGATGGTGAGGTTTCCACAGTTAAACAGATCTCCAGAGCGGTAACGATATTTTGCTGCTTCATTAACAATCTGGGAAGATTTACATACAAAAGTAACATTCAGTCCAATACCTTTAGTTATGCATCATTCAGTCACTTCAATACATGGGATGTAACTACACCATCTGCACCACGCATGGGATTCAGAGGACCAAATTAGAAGCAAAGAAATACTGTAAGCCAGTGCAAAGACAAAAAATTTTCAAGGCAAATGAAGCAATAATTTACTGCATTCAAGTTAGATGCCTAAGCCTCAGGGGTAGCCTTATAACCCAGTTGTTTCCTCATTGCATACTGTCAGTCACCCCAGTTCAAATCTGCAGTTTGTCCTGTGGATACACGGCCAGCTGCAGCTGAATGCAGAAATGAGAAATTGTGTTGGGAAGACACAGCTGATGAATTTAAGGTTGCTGAAGCCAACACAGTCACAAAACCAAAAATTAAAACAAACAGAGAGGCATTTGCTTCAAACAACATCTTTAATTTCCATTACTTATTAAGCCTTCAAACTTGTCTTGGTACAGTTTACAGTTTACAGTATAGTACCGATACTGTTTGCAGTTTACTCCTGTTTACTTAAAGCATGTATAAACATTAGTAATGCAACTGTGGATATATTTGCAAAAATTACATTTTCAAACCAAGTACTAATGCTAACAGAAGAATAATTTAAACAGTCATAAGATTTCTTTTAACCTCTTTCAAATTTATTTATACTAACCTGATCAAAAGCTGGAAAAATGTAATCTGCAAACTGAATTTCTGCAATGGCTGTAGCACCTGCAACAGCAATTCCAATACCAAAGCCAACGATTCCTTGTTCACACAAAGGGGTGTTGAAAACTCTATCTTTACCTATGTATTTAAAAAAAAAAACAAAAAGGATAAAAAGACTCCAACACACAATTCCTTTAATACACTAGTACTAAGTGGAAAATATTGCCCCAGAAATATTTGATTTATAAACAAGTCACATGCAATTAAACATACTGTGCTTTAGATGTGCTTTTTTTAGGTATAGAAACAATAACCATCCATTGCAGGTACAGATACTTTCAATCTAACTTGTAACAACTCAGAGGAAGAGAAGGAGAAACTAAATGAAAGATAAGAACAATTTCTGTAACTTACAGTGTTCCTAACACTTCAAGGAAAATAATTTTTTCTGATGTATATACAGTTAAGCATGCATAGCCTTCATGGTTACCTGGGAGCAAAGAATACTTATAAGCATTTTAAAAAGCTTACAATAAAGATAAGTGTTGTTTCTTCCATTTTTTCCAGGCAGTCAAAAATAACTGCCCCTACCCAAAGGCACACAGTTCTACAAGTCTGTATGAAAGCATACTGCCTCTTGCCACACTCCCCATCAGCAGTGCCCATTCTTCTCAGCCTTCCCTCACAAGGTAAAGCCACATTTAAAGAATTTGCCTTGTCTCCAAGGCAAGAGAAAAAAATGTTGCAAACCTAAAATATTTGATTTTGTATCTTCTGTATGGAAGTGCAAAAGGTTATATTAGGCCTGACATATTTCTGTGCTACAGTAATTTCAGATCCCAAATATGCATAAATCTAATAGATGGTTAAAGACAAAATTGTTCAGTTCATGAAATTATAAAAAAGGAGTGGGAGAGAGATGAAACACCACTACAATATCCTCTAAGACATGTTTACAATATTTGCCAGCAGTACTTTTCTGCCAAGGGAGTACAACAGAAGAATCTCCATATGCTATTAAATCTTCCCTTTAGAACGTTGGGAAATAGACTATACAAGAGTCCCTCGTGCATGAAAATGCCAAGACTTCAAACTGGATGGAAAAAAATGTGCACACCAGTGGCTATGAAATAAATTAAACAATAACTAACCAGGAAATAACTAACCAAAAAAAAAATAGACTAAACCAATAAGTCGGAAAGTTGTTACTATGAAGACTCCTAATTTCAATAGCTGTAAGTTAAATTAGAAAAAGGAAAGCTAACGTAAGTTTTCAGAAATGGATGATTAGGGAGAAACCATTGCCCAAGGCTGTATTTACCATATACAAAGGGGAGGCAAGTTTTACAGATCTTTAAAGTACATATCTTTCATCTTCACACATCACCCTGCACAGCATTGTCACTCCTTGTACCCTGTCTTTGTGCTTTACCTGGTGTTTTCAGTTTTCTACTTCAACGGATGATTTGTTTTGGGGGTTTTGTTTGCTTATTGGGGGGGGGACATATTTTATATATAAAAATTTTTGGCTCTCCCCTCTGCTTTCCTTTTTTTCCCCCTCCACTAGGAACAAGTATAAGACACCATTCATTTAAAGCAAGTAAAAAAAACATGCCATCGAATGATACTTCAATGTTGGTGGTGTCAGTGAGGCTACACAAGCCAACACCAACTACAAAGAGCTACCACAACTGCAGGACACTCCACAATTTTTCATACAAGACAGTGGAAACAAAGAACGAAAGATTATTTTTTCACCTAAAGAGACTGAATACTGTGTAAATTGTTCTCATTTCTGAGATAGTTGTAATCTCCATTCCTATATAGCATCCTCTGGTGCACTCTCCCTTGACAGGTATCATGGTCAAAGAAAGAGGAACATTAACTCCCTATGCAAACATGTAGTTGCCCCAGGTCTTATTGCCAATTGTGATAGCGTGGAAGCCCTGCTTTAGATAGAACCACAAGAGCTGTCCCTGTACTCATATCCATCTGTAACACTACCAACACTTAGCAAACATCTTCCTTCCTTTTTATTTATCTAGCGCACCATTGAATAAGACATCTTGTTTCCCTTCTCTTTCAATGATGCATATAAAATTTTAATTTAAAACAGATCTCATTTTAAAAATTTATTAACTTTATGAAGACATATGGTAATGTTGGTAATTTTCTTTTCTACTTCTTAAAAGTCCACTGGCAGATCAATATATTTCACTTCACTTGCTTACAGGATATTTTGATACAAGACTTATAGCTTACCTAACCATATTCTTTATTAACAGACTTTTTCAGAGTACACTAAAATAGCCTAATGCACAGGTTCAACAAATAATTTTATACCATCACACAAAAATTGAAATGTATTTGAACAACCCTGTAAAATGAGCTTTTAAATAATAATTGCTACACACTTGAAAGTTAGTTCTTTAATATCAATTTGGGGTAGGTGAAAAAATTTAAAAGTGTGTTAGCTCTACCACACTAGTATGTCACTCTATAATTCAAAATATAAAATACATCCTATTAAAACTGCTGAAATACCATTGAGATATTAAATTAGAGGCAACATGCTGCCATCAATGGAGTATGATGAAATAAATTAAGTGAAAATCAATGAAGCAAAAGTGAAACGTAACATGACAGCTGTAACGTGATCAGCTTGAAGCACCTAATTTGAACTTTTCAGGACTAAAGGCACAATTCTGAAGTACCAAGGCTTAAAACAGTAAAGATTGAGTGAGGGAATTCAATTAATGAGATTTATTACTCAGGAATGGTTTTGACTGTTCCATTAAAACAATAATACTGATCCCTTAAAAGCAAATCTTAAAGCACTTTACTGTTCATTAGATGGGAAAACAAGCTTGGGTAGAGTTTCAAGGGGTAAGGTTTTCTTTATAAAATCTAGCCTTTTAAGACAAAAAGATATATGCATCATTAGGACAAAACAAATTCAATTTATTTACCTGAATATTAAAAATTGTATGGTATAGCTTTAACTTCCTACTTTTATTGATGTAGTACGAAAATCATTACTAAAAACTAACACAAAATATTTCAACTCTTAACATTTAAATGCATTAAGCCAATGTATTTTTATCTACTTTATTTCACAGTTTTTTATTTTTCACATTTTTTTTTAAATGTGAAAAGTGACTTTGATAAACAGCCATTTACATCATCTTTTGCAAACCAGCTGAGTCAGATTTCAGCTGAAATATGACTGAAGCAGACAAATAACCCAGAGATATGTTGTCTTTCCATATTTAATTTCCTTACCAATGAAGAAACATTTCCTAAAATGTACTCTTCTCCTATGATTTGTGTCAGCTACACAGCTCAAAACAAGCTAGCACAAACTCTGCAAGCTCTTGTCATTCCACGTAAAGCAGCACTTCTACATTATCTGAGCCAGGTGCATCAGCCTCTGAAGAAAGACATTATGCTGGTGTCCATTTCAATTAACCTACCCAGCTCTATAAACATCCCTGGTTTCAGCCACCTGAACAGGTCAGTGCCATTTGCCAAGTAGTGAAGGAAGCAATATGGCAAACAGAGCTATGTGAAAAAAGAAAAAGAGGATGATTCTTCAGGAAGGATATTGAGGTGCTGGAGCAGGTCCTGAGAAGAGCAACAAGGCTGGTGAAGGGACTGGAGCACAAGTCCTATGAGGAGAGGCTGAGGGAGCTGGGGTTGTTCAGCCTGGAGAAGAGAAGGCTCAGGGGAGACCTGATCACTCTCTACAACTCTCTGAAAGGAGGTTGTAGCCAGACGGGGGTTGGCCTCTTCTCCCAGGCAACCAGCAGTAAGACAAGAGAGCATAGACTTAAGCTGTGCCAGGGGAGGTTTAGGTTGGATATTAGAAAGAAATTCTTTACAGAGAGAGTAAGCAGGCATTGGAATGGGCTGCCCAGGGAAGTGGTGGATTCTCCGTCCCTGGAGGTTTTTAAGATGAGACTGGATGTGGCATTTAGTGCCATGATCTAGTAACCACGGCAGCAGTGGATCAAGGGTTGGACTTGATGATCCCGGAGGTCCTTTCCAACCCGGCTGATTCTATGATTCTCATCTCTCCATCTCAACAACTCAAGGAGTAAGACTAGGTGCATGTTAAGGAAGTGAATAAACACTCTAGAAGTGTTCTCTAATAAGGAAAATCTGAAATTACTATACTAAGGAAAAAAAGCAATACCTGATTCAATTTTCAAACAACTACTTCATCCTGCCCATATCTATTTTTACTTAAATAAAAAAAGATTGATTTTTGTGATTTTCAGAACAAAGACTACCCCACAAATGTTCAAGTTACCACTGACCCTCTGTCTAAGAGACAACAGCTTTAAGGCACTCTCAAAGACATCTTCTTGTCTGCCAAGAATAAAGAGTTTCATAGCAACCTAACAGAGCATGTTTACAGACATACGTAGTAGATTATTGTGCATTAATGTTTTGGCCTGTTTCATCTTTATTTGTTCCAAGACACCAGGAAAAAAGTATTTCAGATTTCAGTATCTATAATGAGTCATGTTCCTGTCTTAATGTAACTTCAAAAATGAGATGGTCAAACAATATCAAATCTCCTAAAATGTTAACACACCACCCAATGCCCTGGCTCTGAGTAATTTCATATCATTCTGCAAGAGTCTGGACCATTTGACTGGTTTAAGGAGTACTGATGGCAAGTTAGTCAAAGGAGAAATGTGTTTCATTTTTAAGATACTGGTGTTAAAAAAAGGCATCTTAAAAGATGTCAGTATGGAGTACTATTAACAGTATACCTGGAGAGCATTTTATTCTTCCCCATGATCCCATCGACTTCCATTTAAAACATACACTAGAAGTCAAATAGAAGAGTGTAAGAAGCTAATTTTGACATCAAATGCAGCAGTCGGGGCTGCACATTCAGAAATAACTGGAAAGAAAAGGAAGCCCCAGAAGATTAGCTTCTCTGCTATTCACCAGGGAATTCTTGTAGAAAGCGCAAATAGAAGTGACTGATTTCAAATCAGTCTTGCCTTTGAAGACCTTTTGTTACCCTAGAATATCTAGGATTTTTCATAGATATACATCTACATAAGTCTACTAACTGTATTTCGTAACATAATTAAGACAGTCTATCCAGTAGTCAAACTTTC